CATCGACCCCAGATGCTGTCTGGGAGGCCAGTACAAGACTGATCCAGCCATGGATGTCAATGGATATCATGGATGTCAATAAAGAGGCCTCTGCACTCCAGGGAGCCTCTGGTGATGGATTAGTATTTTTCCGAGGAGGGGGTAGGCTGGGGGTGGGGGAGGAGGGATGGGGTGAGGGGAGGGAGAGGGACAAGAGACTTACATGTGAAACAAGCTTGTTCCCTAACTAGAACTAATAAATAAATTAAAAAGAAAAAAGAGAAAAAGAAAAACTATCAGAAAATCCGTTCAATCCATGGTCATTTGTTTTATGGAAACCATACAGTTAAATTCCTCAGAACAACCATATTTACTTTGTGCATAATGAGGGCAAATATGAATTTTGCCTTTTCAGATACTGGTCACTACGAAAATCTATTATTTCACCTTCCTTATAAGCATATGATTCTAAGCCTAGGATTTCAATACCACATGCCTCCCCACATCCAGAAACTATGTCTAGTTCCCAGAAGAGAGTACCTGGCTTGGTTGCCATGTATCTAACTGCATTCTCCTCTACAGTTTTTACCTAGTAGTGGTTCTCTGTATGTTTGTATGAGGCTGCTCTTCTTCCTATGCATCAATCAGTTCAATAGGCAAGCCAAGTTCTGTATTTCTACTGTTTGAAAACAAAATTTCTGTCACTTAAAACCTCTCCAACTAACATTTTCCAAAGAACAAAACAAGAAAGCAAATGTGTCTTGATTTCACTTGTCCTTCGTCTCATCTCAAAATTAGTCTTAGAGAGTGACAGTGATACCTAGTTCATGGTCAGTTTGTATGTGCTTTCTGACCTGTCATCCCTCTGGATGACAGACCATGCTTTGACTTCAGGAGTAATACCTAAGTGGGATTTTAATAATTGATTAAGATGGGGAAGAGATTTGGGGTCACTAGGATACTCTAAGATAAGAAAGTGAATATTTCCTGAAAAAGTTGACTATGGGACATGTGAAGGTACACAAATTCAAATAATGACATTGAAAATTTCAGATACCCCACTGATGATAAAAATGTCAAAGATGTGGCAGGGAAAGATGGACCTTAATGTACATTTAATTTGAGTGAAACAGCTATGAAAAAAAATAAGATTTGAAAATCTTTACACCAGAAACTCAGAACTGACTCTTTCTTGTTTGTCTTATAGCAGACCACAGCTATTTATGAATATTTTCCGAACCAATACCTGAAGGCATTTGTTCTGTAATCCCTGGATGGCCTTTAAAAATCTTCTTCTGTCACAGTTTATGCGTCTTGCCATCGTCTGAAATAGTTTTTAGGCCTAACAGTCCTCTTTACTACTTCAGATTGCTGTACTATTCAGCGTGCATTAAGTCCTTGGGGGATTCTGTGTGAAAGGTCAGCTGTAATAGCTGGTTATTGCTCATTATTATTGAGTCTCCTTTGTTCCATACAATCCTGCCATACAGTTGGGGAACACTCCTCAAGGGATGAGTTTATCTCCGTGTACTTTTGCCATGGAAGCAGAATTCATTTGCAGCCATTACCTTCTTTTAATTCAGTCCCAGACAGGAAGACATCATTCTCTGGTCAGTGCCTTGAAATCATCACTTAAAAACCCATGCCTTGTAATGTGTGATTGTTATCTTTACCTGCAATCCCAAACTTACTATGACCCTCCCCCAAACAGACACCTCCAGCCTTACAGTCTCTCCTAATTTTATTCTAACTACAAGTTAGAATGAGTATTCCTCTTCTATAAGACAAAATATTTTGACTGTGGTTTGAGAATTAATCATTGCCAGGTTTGAAAATTTAACCTGAACACTGTGGTAATATTTAAGTAAACACTTCCTCTTTTTAACTGGAAGTGATCTTGGTAAAGTTAATGCACCTGGTTTCTTTGTCTTTGAACAGAATAGTTTGTGCCGCCCCTGTGGTGATAATATTATTTTATTTTTTAAAAAGGGAGTAGCTTTGGAACACATACTGAATCATCCAAGGGGAATCTACAGTCTAGCTATCAAGTTATTGCTGCTCTTCCCTACAAGGTCAAAGCATCCTTTGTAGGATAGGCTAAGTCCAACCTTGAGAGTAGATCACTGACATTGTCTTATAAACAGGAGTGTGTGTTAGGTGTGAAAGTGACTGACTCTTGGTTTAGGAAGCTACAACCTCTCCAGTTAGATTATAGGCCCTCTGAGGAAAGAAAGTCAGCTACAAAAACTATACAACTATAAAACTTGAAACTAGCTGGGTTTCTTTTCATTTGTTCGAAGGGCATTAAACAAAGAAAGGAAAAAAGAACTGTGAAAAAAGAAAGGTGAAAAACACCCATCAAATGCTAACAACAAGAAAATGTAGAAACCACAAAATCTTAACTTTGCTTCCTGATCAAAGTACTGATAAGTAGAGCAGTTGAGTCAGCTGAATTCCAAAGAGAGACAGAACATGCAGACTGTTGGTTTGTCACAAACTGGGAGAGGAAAGGATAATCGCCATGTGGGCTGATTGGTCACAGTCAGCTACAGTTGCCCTGACTGCTAAATGGAATGGGCTAATGTGTCAGTGTGAAAGAGTGGAGAGCTTCAGACAGTCAGTGCTTGTTTTGTTCACCTCAAGCACCTGGCTCCACTATCATGTACTTTGACAGAGTGCTGATGAGGGACAATGTCACAGAACTGGACTCTAGGATCAACACCCCAGGGCAGAACCATCCATGGTAACTAGTAGATGTTGTACAGAAATATTATGAGACCCTATCTCTGCATTCTCATCAGAGGTAAAATCCTGAGGTGACTAAGGAATGGAGAGCTAAGCCCATTATCTCTAAAGAGTGAAAAGGACCTGCTGTGATGGAAGCTGCCTTACTGAACACATTTCCATGCTGGGAGAAGGCAGAAAACCATGTTGCCCAAAGGATTCTACTCCGGAACTAAGCAGTGGTGAGTGGTCTGCTAACACCTGGGAAAGGCTAGAACATTTCCTTTTTTAGATTAACCCCCAAATAAAGGCAGAGCTTGACTGCCATAGTAAGAAGACCAGATAGTGTAAAAGCCAGAATCCATAGCTTAAGTCTAAGAGTCTAAGAGTACATCTGGACAAAAATAACAGAAGGCTTTCACCATACTCATTATGGGTCTGAAACTGATGAACAAGCAGCAATTATCTCCATAGGTAATAAGCCACCACATGAAGATAAATCTGTGCACATGCGAAAGAACAACTGACAGTTGGGAAAACAGTACAGACCTTTTTGTCTTCAGCAGCAGCAATGGTGGTCTAACACTAGAGAGATTAAAGCCTATGTACATTGAAAACACAGCCTAACCCCCAAACCAGTGACCCAACATAAGAGGTGTATTCTAGTATAATCAGTACTTGCTCATTTTTAGGTCTTTTATACATGATGTTTCCAGTTGAGTGAAAATTAAAAGAAATATAAAAATGAAAAAAATATAGTTAAGGGGTGATTAAATATATAAATGGACCCAAAGTCAGATATGAACCAAATGTTAGCTCCCGCTGGGACTATAGAGGAATGGATGACTATGTTAAAAGCTACAGTAGAAAAGGTGGCACCATGCGTGAGCAAATGAGGAATTTTATCAGAGATGGATCTATTAGCTAGAATCAAGTGTAAATTCAGGGCTAATGATAAATTTATTTTTCAGAGTCACTGAACCTAATGGCAGATGGACATAAACCAGCTTCACAAAGAAAAGTGGAGAGGGAGAAAAACACAGCAAGCACCGAGCTGTCTGTCAGACTATATTAAAGGTACCTGGAGTCACAAGAGAAGATGAAAAAAAGAAAGGACAGAAGAAATAGTTGAAGAGACAAAAGCTACTAAAAGAGACTTATAAATATATTCAACCAAGGATCCAAAGAACTTGGAGTAAGATAAACGCCTAATAAAAGCAAAACAAAGTTAAAATAAGTCAAAACACACAGAGCATGGCAGGAAGACTTCAATGAATTGGAGATAAAGAGAAAACCTTGCAGCAGCCAGAGGAGAGGCATGTCACAAACAAAAGAAAATAGATGAGTAGAAGAATAAACTTCTTGTCAGAAACTATGAAAAGTGAAAGACAACGATGTGACATCTGTGAATCACTGAAAGCAAACAATTCTGTCAGTCCAGAAAATAATCTAACACAACCATCTCTCAAAAATCGAAAGTAAAGATGAACTTTTCAGACACATAATGTGAGCACCAGCGGCAGAGGATTTGTCCTCGAAGAAACATATGAGGGAATTCTTCACACTCACAGGACCAGATACAATGGATCAACAGAAAGAAATGAAAAGCCACAGACATGGAAAACCAAAGGCAGAGAGAGAGAGGGAGAGAAAGAGAGAGGGAAAGAGAGAGAGGGAGAGAGAGAGAGGGAGAGAGACAGAGAGGGAGAGAGAGAGAGATAGAGAGGGAGAGAGAGGGAGAGAGGGAGAGAGAGAGAGAGAGGGAGAATTTTCTAGTTATAAATTGGCAAGGAATAACTCCTGGAAGTCACCATGTTAACATTGTATTGTGAGATTTATAAGTGATGAGAGCTGTATGTGACAATAGCAAAAGCAGACCCAAGAACAGGCTTGGAAAGTCAGTTAGGAAGTCATAATGCTGACTCTGACACCCACACCCAGACACACACAATGGGCAGGGAAGGCAAATGCTGATGGGCAATGGTGAAAACTTCAGAGCCACCCATCAGAGCTATGAATTCAGTTAGGCAAAAGGAACTGACTTTTTAGTCATACACCTACAGCAAGACCCTTGAAAGAAGACACACAGCCAAGGCTAGCAAAACTGTAGCCCCTGAGATGCAGCTCTTCATGAACCAGCATGAAATCTTTCATCTTTTCCTGAAAGATGAAAGATTGCATGAAGCCATCATGGGAACCTCAGAGCTCTCAGCCATCAGGGCTGCTCTCAGTCACAGGAGGACAACAGTTATTGCGAGGAGATTTGATGCTTGACAGAGTAACAATGAGAAACTACAGCCTTTATCACATTTGTGGTTGGCTCCAGATGGCCAGCCAAATTCAGAAAACATACAGTAAAGAAAATGGGCCAATTCTTTTCTTTATGAAGCTTATACTAAAGAGGAAATGTATAATAAACATGTAGATGCACGCAAATGTTCTGAAATTTGAGATTAATGTAAAAACCATGAAGTCAAAGAAAAAGTGTAGGAGGAAGTACCTTCTACTGGGCAACATGGCCTGGCATAGTCAATGAGAAGTGAGACTGGAGGATGAAGAAGGAGTCTGTCCCATACCATATGAAGAAACGACAACTCAAAATGCTGGTGTAAGGACAACAAATGTAGCTGGAAGCTAGACAACTGACCTGACTGCAGCTACAGGCCGAGGCTGAATGTGAAGGGCTCAGTATTCCTACCACACAGCCAAACACTATTGTAACACAGACCAAAGGCTTTAGTGTTGAGAGCCACCATAATTTTGGAATTAGTTCAACTCTTCAAATGCTTCTGTCTACATTGTATCTCATTTTCCAGGAAGACCATTTCTGAACAGCAGCTGCCTATGACAGACAGACTCTCAGAAGCCACACAGATGTCTGGTTTTTACAGCCACTGTCAACAATAATTACCTTTTGAAGTGCAGAGAAGCCGTGACAAGATAATGATGCATACATGACAAGTGACCAGGTACAGAAAATGATGACCAGGTGTCTGAAACTCAAAAGAGAAATGTAGGATATGTAAAGGTGTTTTGTGACTGTTAACTATCCATGCCTGCAGGAGCAAAATGGCAAAATTATTTTAAAAAATCCTATCACAGAAGCATCATTTACACAATGAACAAAGTATATGTTTATAAGACAGAGCCTCAACTCGAAGCTGTTTCTGTGCTCCATCACAGAGTAGGGCCTCTCTAGCTCCCATGCTGGCCCAGAGTAGACCCACTCTAGCTCCAGCCTAAGCAACATCACACGGAGGGACTGCTTCCACCACACCACTAGCACACTGTGTGTCGGCATCATCTCCAGCATCACAGCTCTGCTCAGGAGGATGTCATGTCTGTTTCATCACTTGGGAACTAATTTCACAGCCTGTTTCCTCACATTCTCACCATGCTATGGCCATCATGACTGTTGTCTCACTTCAAACAGCAAGTGTGTGGCTTTTCCAAGGTCTATGCACCCTGCTACACCTCTGTCTGGAAGTCTTCACCCAGGCCTCGGCCTTCTTCACTTCTTTCCACTAAGTCTCAGGCCTTACTGTATCCTCAGAGTAGCTTTCCCCCACTGTTATTTGCAAGAAAGAAAGTGTCAGCACTCCTGCATGGTGACCAGTTACTCTTTGCATCTGTCACCACTAGGGAGTAATTGTTAACTTACTTGGAATTACATAGGCCCTAATTGTAATACTAGGGTTATGTTAACCCTAATGGTTACTTGGTTCCCTGCTATATCCTGTTCCAGGAACCCTGTGTGTGTGTGTGTGTGTGTGTGTGTGTGTGTGTGTGTGTTTGTGTGGGCCGGTGTGTACACACATACTCATGCTATGTGCACATGTGGAGATCAGTACACCACTTTCAGGAATCAGTTTTCTTCCTCCAAGTTGATCCAGGAACTGAATTTAGTTCATCAGGCTGGGCAGCAAGCACCTTTACCCACCAAGCCATTTTGCAGGTCCTATGTCAAAACATGGTGTAAAATGGAGTTATGTGAGGAGAATTCTGAGGCTCCAAGAAAGCAAGCCAAGAGTCTTGTGACCTCAGTTTCTTCAAAACATGGAATTGTTCCTGGAATGCATTTTTGTGCTCTTCCCAGGTGTAGTAGATAGGAGTGAGTTTACTTCAGATTGTTCATTATATTTTGCTAATGCTATTTAGTTAAATTTATAAACTATACTTTATATGCCTCTATAGAAAAACATGTTTTTTGCCATGTGTGGCTTTGTCCTTGTTATTGTATACTACTTGAATTCATGATAATTTGCCTCAGGTGACCACTAATGCTCAGGGTATAAATGCTCTGACTAAAGTTGCCTATTGCATGAGACTCTGGTTTGCTTCATTTATAGGCCTAATTTTCCAGGGTCCCACTGCCTCTAGAGCAGAGACAGCCCTATAGTTTATTGTTTGAAAGAAAATGTTCTGGAAACCACCAGAAAAGTGGTTGTTTTATTATAGATGAATATTTATTTGTTAAACTCACCTTGAGGTCAAAGCTCACAGGTGATCAGTTCTAGTTCATGACCACTGACTGGATCATTGTTGATTTTAAATTATTCCTTTAACAGCCCACAGATTATAACTTTGTCTTAACAGCTAAAAATGCAACTAATTTAAATAAATTTGCATTTATCTCTGTGTATTCATTTTTGACTGGAGTCCTCAGAACACACTAGCTTGATCTAGTACTAACCTTGGGAAGCATGTGCTCAGGTGCTGATGGAGGAGGACTTGTGCTCACAAGGTCTGCTAAACGTACACCTCTGTGAACATTGTTCTATACTAGCAATGGCCGTCCTGAGTCATCCACACTTCACTGTGCATTGCTACGGTCACCATCCTGTTTGTGTCAAGGGCTAGTGAGTACTTATCTCACTCTGTCCTTTCTGGTTATTCTATTCTTGTTGAAAGAAACTGGTTGAATTGACAGAAAAGACCATAACTAAATTATTTTCACAAAAGAACTTTAAATAATTTTCAGAACTATTCAGTCTTTTCAGAAAACAAAAGAGGTTTCAAGCAATAAAACTGCCTCATTGTTTTTTCTCATACAAAATCATTCACTTAAGAGATAATTTACTCTGGGTGTGATGCCGCCTGAGGATGTCAAAATCAAGATGAATTTAGGCTGACACATCCACACTGGGATGTGTGAAAGCCATCATAAAGCTGACATCATCACACCACTATCTCTGAATCATTAAAACTGCTGTGTGAACAACTACTTAACTTTCTACTGACATAATCCATTGATGAAGCATGAATTTTGAATTGTGATGTGTTAGCTACTTGAAATAACTAATTTGGTCACAAAAATAATGGTGAGATCAGTAATTAATAAGGACAATTCCATCAATGCACATAAATTCCATAGACTTCTTTTAACCTGTATGTTTCTAGTTATTCTGCTTTGAGAGGACAACCAAAGGCTCTGAGGCCAGACTAATTTGAATACAAATCCTAACTTTATAGCCATGTGACCTCTGTTAGACTCAATTATTGCTCAAATTACCTATGAAGAATAATACCTACTTTTTTGATAGAATCTTTAACATTGCCAGGGAGGGATAATAGCCCAGAAAGAGAACTTGGTGGACCCTCTAATTTGAAGAGAGGGAAGGCAGGGGGGACCAGGATATCTGGGGTCTCCAGAACCCAATAGCAGAAAGAAAAACTCCCTACACAGGAAAAATACCACAGATTATAGGGCATCCACCTTCTGTCCTCAGATAAGTCACTGTCAGTACCAGCATGGCAAAACTTCCTGATGTTGGCATAAGAGAAAGCTGGCCATATTCAAAGCAACAATAATTACATTTAAATGAAAACACCAATTAAAAGTCAGAAAGTCTCAGAATAACTAAAACAACAGGGTCCAAGTCTATGCTTACTTCTAGAAACCTATTTGTAATTTAAGAAATAGACTGGATAAAAAAAGACATAAATCATTTGCCTCATTAATGCTAGCTCAAAAAAAAAGCTCCAGTGACTGTGTTAATGTTAAGAAAAAGTAGATTCCAATGCAAAGAATGCTGTGAAATAAACATAGATCACCGTGTAATGGTAAACATTTTAATTTGTCCTTTTATGAGCATATGGCACAGCATTAATCTTAAATATTGTCAACCACTTTAATTTATATGAATTCTTCTTAAACACATGATGAAAATGCTGAGAGACTACAACAGGATTGCCAAAGCAAATTTCAATAAACATCATTCTGAGATATTGAACAATAAAATTTTGTCTGTTCATATAGCTTATGATAAAGGTTATGACATTGGTCCTAGTCAGTGCACTTGGATAGTGACAGGCATAATGCAAATGTCACAGGGAGGAAAGCAGAACTTTGTCTTTCATAGTCATCATAAACATCTATATTGAAATCATAAAGAAGCCACAGAGAAACCACAAAAACTAATACCTGAATCTAGAAAAGTCAGAATATATACAAGGCCAATATTATGAAATTAAAATCCACTTACAACAATGTTAAAATATAAATTAAAACAATACCTTTGATAGTAATGTCAATGGTATGAATCAGTGATCAATTGGAAAGACATATTCTAGAATGATGTAATAAAACTTTGGTTGATTGCATAAAATTTTAATACACCAAATGCAAAGAGCAAAAGACACAGTCATTAAGATACCATTTAACCCCAAATTGACCTATAATTCAAGATAACTGCAGGCAAAATCCCAGAAAGCTTTTACTAGAAAAATCAGGAGATCTATTCTAAAATGTACACGCACATAAATGTATCTAAAACAGTTGTAAAAGAGCTGAAAAGAGCAGATTTGGAAAATCCATGCTATCTGACTTTAAATTTTACTCTGGAGCTATAGCAATCTCTAATGTGATACAGCATTGTATTTGGACATAAGGGTAAATATATAGACCCACATGGGATGAAGAATAAATGTAAAATCAAATCTGTACATATGTAGCTCATTGATTTTTTTTTCAGAAGTGCCAATCTAATTCAATGAGAAAAAGAAGAATCTTTCCAACTACTGATAATAAAAGTGTCCAGTTTTCTGTGTTCAGTTAGTTACTAAACAGCCCTTGCCTCTTGCCTCCCATCTGCACAAAACAACACAAAATGCATGAATAGTTCTAAATGCATGAATTAAACCTGAACAATCTTGCAGAAGTAATCCCACTGATAATCTAAATTCCTGCTGCCTCGGTCTTGATCTTCTGATGCTCTCTGTACATTGACTGAGCTGCCCCTTGTGGTCTCTGTGTTACCTACAGCCGAACCAAATATCACAGGGCAACCAAAACCTAGCATGACACAGTGGACCCTCCAAATCCATCAGTCCTTTTTTCACCGAGAAAAATCATGCCCAGAAGTCTCTAATATTTGCCTTACAGCTCATTGACTAGATTTGGGTCACAAGTTAATATTTAGTTACAGAGATTTGGGTGAGTGGCTATCTGGCTTTCTCAGATTTTCTGAAATGAGGACTGACTCTGCTCGTAAGAAGTAAACAGGAGAACAGAGCTGCTAAGGGGTGACAGAGTGTGGACTGTGACTCATAGTAGGTCAACACTGAGTATCCTCTTTTCCACAACCCCCACCCCCACCCGCAGATTGTGATCTCTGTATTTGGCAGAACTAAAAAGAAAAGCAGTGAGGATGTGGAATGTTCTTCTTAAGCCCCAAATGAAATAAGAACAGACCTGTGTGCAGTCTTTTCTGTGTGTGCTGGGTTCTTCCCTTTCACCCCTCCAGTCTTTTTGCTGACTGGGTGGTACTGGCTTCCTCTTTGACTGCAGTTTCTGCACCATTATTATCCTTAATGCCTTCCTATAAAGCAGTTAATATTGCCACTGATTAAGGGAAGTACTTGGTTCAAATCCCAACCTTACCACCCAAGAGTTGTGTGGAATTTGCACAAGGTATTTTAACTCTTGTTTCTTTCCATGTGTAAAATAAAGGTATCTGCCTCAAAGATGTATGGAGATTCAATGATACATGAAACACTCAGAATAGCAGTGTTCAGTAAATGTAACTGTCCGTGTTAAAGATAACATTCTAAGTTAAGGCAAACAAGTCCTTAGAGATTTTGTGCCAAAGAAAGAAAAGCTATAGTTGTTAGTACAACTCTAATCAACTTTAGCACTTATGAATAAACTGTTGTCTAAGAAACAGTATTTATTATTATTCCAGTTCTGAGTTCAATCCACAGGACCCACATAATGGAAGAAGAGACCAGCTCTCACAAGTTGACCTCTGGCCTCCATATGCATAATATAGCGAGCATGCGCGCGCGCGCGCGCGCGCACGCACGCACACACACACACACACACACACACACACACACACACACACACACACACAAATGTAGTTGAAAATAGTTGAAAAACAAACACTATCACTTCATTTTCCTCTGCTCTTGAGTGTTTGGGAGTGAGGCTCTAGCCAGCAGCTGACAGTGTTCTTAGCTGAGGAGTTAAGAAATTTATGACACATTTGTGGTGTTCTATGAAACAAGATGATTGCATTACAGCAATCTTAATCTTATTTCTTAATCTTTTTGTACTTGGGCACTCCCATTTGGGCTTTATTTAAATTCCAAGGGGGATAGTGATTTCAAAAAAGATTCCACATGAGCAGGAACTGTGCATAACAAAGGAAACTGAGGAGCATCTCAACAGGATGCAGATGTCCTAACCTCTGGAAACACCACCTCTGCCATAAAGGGTTAAATCCAGGCATTTCTCAAATCACACAATTTTGGAGTTGAATATTTCTAAGAGACCACCAAACTAATGCCATAGGGATGGGGACAAAGTGGGACAATGAAGGATTCAGAAACTTACCCAACTCAGATCTCAAAACAAGACCAAGTGTCTTTTAACTCAGTCCAATTTTCTTTCCACTCTGGCAGCTTTCTCCCTGTGTTGATTTACTTTCCTTGAATGATAGTCCCCCAAACTAGAGACAAATTTGCTTTTCCAAGGCTCAAACAGACTTTCATTCACCAACGTTTCCATTAATCATTAAAACTGCCGATTGAAACATAAGCCAAATATTACTGTGTAAATTCTTTCCCGTTTACCTAACAAGTCTTCCTTCCTCATGAGACTCAGAACCCCCCAGTTATTTACATGATTTATAATACACCTTCTCTAAAATTTATTAGTGCATAACTGAGACATCAATAAGTAACCAAAGCTACCGTTGGGATTCATATCACAGTGATCTCTTTCAGGAGAACCAAAAGTTTCTCTTTCAGAGTATGTGTTCAACTGGTCTGGGTTTAACTGTGAGGCCAGAGGCAGGCCACTAAGCTTCATACGCCATTTACATTGATTGCATTTTATGCAGCAAAGCTGACTGGGATTCTTTAGTGTGGAAAGCCTCTTCAGCAAACTATACCTCTTAAAAGGGTCAAACTTCTAGTAAAGTGAAGATTTCTCAAAACTGTGCACAATATCCATTATCAGAAAACAAATCTGGTATATCAGATTAAGTAATGGGAAAAAAATAAGAAAAATCAACCTCAGGTGTTCTACACATACACATATAAGACATGCTGTGTATTTTTTGGGAGGGTTGTATTTTTTTTTTTTTTTTTGGTTTTGGAAACAGTATAAAAAAACAGAGGGAATTTTTAAAGAATGCA